AGTATGCCAAGTCAGACTTAATTGTCCTTCTTAATCTTTTTCAATTCTTTAAATATAAAATTACTAAAATGCCCTTAATCTATTCTTCTTTCCATCGTTCTCCTCTGTGCTCTCTTTGTTCTCCTTCCCACCGCCACCGTTTTCAGCTATTTTTCCTTTGATTGTCACTGTTTCTCTTCTCCCCTCCCCTCATCCTCTTCTTGGGCATGATTGGGTTCGTGAGGAACCCAGAGACGATCTGGGTTCGTTGCGAACCTAGTTATGGGTTCGTCATGAACTCAGAATGCCTCTTTCATCCTCTTTCATTCAGTACTCCACAATTTAAAGCAACATAAAATTTCAGAAGAAATGCCACTGTTTCCTCCATAAATCTACTTTACCTTATTTCTATCCTCTGCAAAAAGCATGTGTGAATCACCATGAATGAGAGAGTTAGCATACATCTTCCTGCAAAAACAAGGAATTAATACTGAACATTGTGGGTTTGCGACAATGAATCAAACTGACAGTGAATCACCATGAATCAAACTGGACTTTAACATAAATATATTCAACAAATTTTACCTAATCTATGGCAATAAAGAAATGGGTTTGCGACGAACCCAGAAGAGATCTGGGTTTGCGCCGAACCCAGAGCAGACCTGGGTTCGCGTGGAACCCAGAGCAGAGCAGAGCAAACTTGGGTTCGCAACGAACCCAGATCTGCTCTGGGTTCGCGTTGAACCCAGATCTGCTCTGGGTTCGCGTTGAACCCAGATCTGCTCTGGGTTCGCGTTGAACCCAGATCTGCTCTGGGTTCGCGTCGAACCCAGAGCAGAGCAGACTTGGGTTTGCGACGAACCCAAATTTGCTTTGGGTTCCCGTCGACGAACCCAAGTCTGCTCTGCTCTGGATTCGACGCAAACCCAAAGCAAATCTGGGTTCCTCATGAACCCAATCATGGCCAAGCTGATGAGGGGGAAGGGGATGAGGGGGAAGGGGAGGAAAAATGGCTGGAAATGGTGGACGAACCCAGATTGTCTCTGGTTCATGAGGAACCCAGATCGTCTCTGGTTCATGAGGAACCCAGTCATGGCCAAGCTGCTGAAGGGGAAAGGGAGGAAAAATGACTGGAAATGGTGGCGGTGGCAAGATGAACAGAGAAAGCACAAAGGAGAACCATGGCAAGCAGAATAAATTAAGGGTATTTTAGTAATTTAATATTTAAAGAATTGAAAAGAATTAAAAAAAACAATTAAGTCTAACTTGGCATACTCCACGTAAGCTAATTATATGAGTTGTCATTGCCACATCATTAAAAATGCCATTTTGGAATATTTAACTGTCATGTGTCACTTAACTGACATAAGGATTAAAATTGTGCAGTTTCTAGAGTTAAGGGATCAAAAAAATGCAAAAATTTGTTGAGGGACCAAAAATGTGTAACTCACTAAAGTTGAGGGACCAAATTTAGCATTTAACC